ATTATTATTATTATTGCACGTATTTATTTTGAGTAGCTCCTGGTCATTGTTGTGCTACTTGCGTGTGTGCGCTTTTTTTTATCTCCTTTAACCGCGAGACGCCACCAGCTGCCGCGCCATTATCATTATTGCTTACGTTCCTTTAAGGCGCGTATTACTTTTTTCGTTAGGCCTCAGTGCTGCTATGCGCGTTGTTATCTTGGAATTTCTTTTATTGTGTTCCCATTTTTATCATAAAACTGCTTCATGTTTCCAATTGTTTTTTTAATTATTATTTTTTTTTGTAAAGCAGCAATAACAAAACAACTGAAATGCCACACTTGGGATTAAGTAACGTTGTATTCGTTAAATTAATGTTATTTTTTTGAGGCGCTAATAAAAGAAGACACAAAAGAGCCTTATTGCTTGTAAATATGAAACTAGCATTTTTTTCCAAGTTGCTTTATTCGAAGAGAATCAAGAAAGCAAACCACTTGTGTGTAGAAAAAACTGCGAGGAAACCGTGCGCACAAGAGATATGAAAGTGACGCCAAACCAATTATTTGAGAAAATTTACAACAATAGTGATTAATAAACCATAGCGTGTAAGGCAAAAAGCTGCTTAAAGTTTAGTAAAGCACCTTTTGTTGTTATTTCAGCACCAGATGAGCCAACACGCGAAAATTTTTTAAATAATTTAAATAAATAATGTAAAAAGCATTTAAATAATTAAAAACATTTGTGAATTGTAAATTTCTTGCTCTCAGCTGAGTTCGGCACTATCGATATTCCATAACTAACATAATACTTTTAGGTGGGTGCACACTGTGCAAACACTTCAAATGTTTTAAAATTCACACAAAAGCTATCTCATGTTGATAATATTTCGATATTTTAATATAATTTTAACAGCTTTAAAACAAAAATGCCAATTCAAGCCAATTTGTCAGCCAAACGACTTTGCACAAACATTAAAACAGTTAAACAATTCTTCACTAAGTCATATAAACCGGTTGGATGATTAAGAAGTTTGCAGAAAAAATAGTTGTGCTGAGCTGAAAAGCGTCGAACGCTATATATATATGTATGTACACAGCTGTGAAATATTTATAATATCATATTTTCGGGTTACTCTCCGCTAGCTTTGCAAGTTTTATGTGCGGAAGCCAATAAAGTACGTGAGAAAGTCTGCAAAACTACTACTTAAATCAAACATCATGAATGTGTGGATAACTGCTGAAAATATGTAGACAAAAGTATAAAGGATATGATGACAAGTATGTGTACAAGCCACATGGGGAGAAATTTTGGTTTTATGAGTTTTCAGCACATAAATAGTAGCTATTACACTTGCTCATATCCAACAGTAAACTAGTTACATTTAATTAAATGTCGACGGGAAAGTGTTGTTAGGCATTATGATAGACCCAAACGCACCGAAATTCATATACTACATATATACATAGCTTCGTTCAAAATATGTCAAATTTCAAACCCATTTCGACAATTTTTCATTTTATTTTGACATTGGCGAAATTTGTTTGACATTTGTCACAATTTTTGACATTTATGAAAATTGTTTGACATTTATGAAATTGGTTTGACATTTATGAAATTTGTTTGATGTTTGTCACATTTTGTGACATTTGCAACATTTTGGTGTGACACTTGTGAATTTTTTTGGCATTTGGGAAATTTTTTGACATTTGAGACACTTTTTGACATTTACGAATCAAACAGACAAAAAATCTTACACTTCGCAAGAATGTGTATTGTTTAGAGCTAACGGGTATCCATTAAAATCTCGAGTTTATGTCAAAGCTTCAAACTCTCGAAGTTAACTTATCTCGAAACGATACTTAACATGAAACTTAACTTACAGAGAAACTTAATCTTAACTTAAGCCCACGTTAGACTTAACGTAAAACGCAACTTAACGTGAAACTTATTTTAAAACGTTACTTGACAAGAAACTTAACTAGTTTTAAAACACACGCATTCCAAAGCCTTTAATTTCCTAAAAAAAATTTCAAAATATTTCAACATCTTGCACCACACTACTTAAAAAAATTTCAAAATTTCAAAATTTTCCTAGAAAATATTCTTCCATTTAACTAAATACCAGACTAACGTGTTATGATATCAACACCGTAACCAAACAAATGCAGAAGTCTGCATTTCATAATGTCAAGAGAGCACAGCAATGCCATCAACACTGTCATTATTTTGTTGGACGTGCACACCATTTTTAGAGCAGCCCACACAAACTTACCACAACCAATCAGTTAGCTACATAACTTCCGCCGCCTCGTTCTTTTTTGTGTTTTTTTTTCTGCTTCTTCTTCACATGCATAGTTGCATTTATGGCATTATTCACTATAAACTTTACTCATCGTCGACGTTGATTTTATCTTGCGAAAAACAATAAAATACACATACCTTTGCACTTTTGCCTTTAAACTCATATACGAGTATATAGAGTAGTATATATGTATGCCTGGTCTGACACGCTTTAACTTTTCTGTGGCATATTTTTTTACGCTTTTTCTACACTTCAAACACTTGCGAATCTGTGCGTGGAAGTGAGTTGTTGCTATTGGAACAATTTGCATGGCAATTGAGTTTGCAACTGCTACTTAAGAACTTAAAGCGAGTAAAAAAACCATGACTGTCTAATGTGTTGGAAAGCGAGTGGGGAAAAGGCAGAAGTTTGAGTACCGGAAAATCATCATTGGCATAACTACAAAATTAAATAGTGATTTTTATTTTATGATATTAAGCTTAGTAAAATGGCTTGTTTTCTTATCGAACTTTCATACTTATGGAATTTATTATCACAGGCAGTCGGTTGCAGTATTACATGACAGCACGAAGCATTTGAAGCTCAAGAGACAATATAAGCACACGACAAGAGAGGATTAAAATAAGTATATTGAACGAAAATGAAATGAGCTGAAGTAATATTGATGCAATTTATATACAAAAGTTGCATTAAATTACAATCAAGAACATGAACAGCTATTTATTATTTACTTTATTCCTTACCAAATTTAGATCACTAAATCCAAGAAATAGTTTGCAAGAATATATTGGGTAGTCGAAAAAGAATTTTCGTATTTTTAGTCAAACTTCAACTTTTTTTTTTATATTTATAATGAACCAAATATGTACTATATTGGTCAAGCGCTTTTTGCCATTTTTCCGCTAGAGACATTATTCCATCAGAGTAAAAAGTAATTTTCACATGTTCTCTTAAAGCCAACTTTACTCCTTAAGCGAATTTTGCATTCACCGAAACAAATGGTGGTCCGATGGTGCAAAGTCAGGGCTGTATAGTGGACGCAACAAAACTTCCTAGCCAAGCTCTCCCAGTTTTTGCTGAGTCATCAAAGATGTGTGTGGTCTGGCGTTGTCCTGATGGAAGCCCTTTCTGTTGATCAGTTCTGTCCGTTTTTTTTATCACCTGCTTCAATCACATCAGTTGTTTGCAGTAAAATGTAGAATCAATCGTTCGACTAGACTGTTGCAGCTCATAGTGGCTGATTCCTTTCCAATCCCACCAAACACTCAGTATAAGCTTTCGAGGCGTCAATCCTGGCTTTGCGACTATGTGTTGAGCTTCACCATGCTTGGACCACCCCCTTTTTCGCACATTATTGTATTTGATACACTTTTCGTCTCCTATTACCGTTCGCTTCAGAAATGCCTCGATTTCCTTTAATTTTAGCAAACAATCGTTGGAGATGTTAATTCGGTCCATTAAATTTTTCACAGACAATTCATGTGGTACCCAAACATAGAGTTTCTTTTTGTAGCCATTCTTTTTAAATGGTTCAAAACCGTTTGATTATGAATGTTAAGTTCTTTTCTGGTCAATCTTTTTCCATAATTTCATCGACTTTTTCAAGGATAGGTCGACCAGAGCGAAGTGCATCTTTCACATCAAAATTTCCAAAACGGAAGCAAGAGAACACACGAACTGATACAGTATCGTCTCCGTAAACACCGTAAACTCCACAAATTTCATTGTTGGCTTGCACGGCATTTTTCCCTTTTTCATAAAAAAATTTCAAAATATAGCAAATTTTCACTTTTTTTTTAATATCTTGTCTTTAAATGAAGCACACATTGTGGTTGGTAGCATTGGAGATATACGACTGCAACGAAATCTATTGACAAAATACGAAAGGACTTTTTCGACTACCCAATATAGCCGAAATTCGAAGCACTAATTTTACTATTGAAAAATAAAAAGTGCTGTTAGGATATAATTTGTATACTATATCGAAAAATTTTGTAGTAAGGCCTATTAAAAATTAATAGATATAAAAGCTTAACTGTATTTCAAGCAACATAAAAGGCTGTTTTCCAAACTGATTTAGCAATCAGCGGATTCGTTTCCATTATAAATTTACATATAGAGATGGAGAGGGAGAGAGTAGTTCATGGTGCGCTAAGGTTGTAGTCTTGTGCCAAGGCGCTCTGAGTTGTGTTAGGCAAAAATTATTGGATAAATATAAAAAAAAAATAAGTTGAAGTTAGATTAGAAAAAAAAAGACTTTTTCGACTATCCAATATCTACAAAAAACCTTAAGAGGTTCGGTTGGAGGAATACTAGACTTAATGAAGTAATAGAGTTGAAATTTCTTAAGCATAGAAGTTCTGTTGCTACTTCCTTCAGCTTTTGGTTGCCATTGCAATTAATTGCAATTAATTTTTAAGTGTTGTTTGCCTACTACCAGCAGTTTCTGGCTTTTCGGCTGGTCAATTGCTCCAATTCAGCACCACTACTTTCACTTAATTATAATTTTTTGTTTGAATTTTTAATTGACGCTCCTTAAATAAATATTTTGACAGCTCAAATTAAGGGGAACACATAATAACGCCCTCAGCAATCGGCGCCAAAAATCATGACTTGACGTGACAGTTGAATTATTCAATTTACACCACGCATTTTAGCATAATCGATGCGCCCAATTAAGCTTAATTATAAATTCTCTTTTGCAGACGGCTAAGTCCAGCAACACAAATAACCACACACACACTCGGATACGCATAAACTCAATTAAAAAAGCAAATGTCAAAAACAGCTGCAGCGCGTAAACGAAAATTGACATGTGAATGACCTGCTAGTACAGTTATTCGTGACAGTGTGCAGCAACGCGTTGTGCAAATGACTGTCTGCTCTGTACATATGTACATGTTGGTAATTAGTGCAATCAGTTAAATGACATTTCACCATTGTAAATGCACGCCAATTGATGCTGTCAATTAAGAGCGCGCGTGAAAGCGGACAACGACGAAAACTACCACAAAACAAAATAGCGCGTCCGTGTGCGTGTCGCAGAACAGGGTGTTGGCGACGGCGTTAGCACGGGGGCATGCCGCGGAATTGCATTTAATACACGGAAAAAAATACAACACTAGACAGCGTGTTGTTGTTGGGAATTTTGTTTTTGCCATTTCGATATTCTGCAGCAACGCCGAAATTCACTTAACACCGCCAAGTTGGAAGGAAAAAAACTATTCACGGCTGTTAATAATATTTTAGCCGGTTCGAGCTTTGCCCGCGAACTCAGGCAACTAATGGTGGGTGAGCTGCGCAACTATAACCCTTGGTATTTCAACTAAAACACGTTGTTTTTGTTATTATTTCCTGCAGACGAGAAAGACTACAGGCGTCGCGGATGGTACGGCTGCTGGCGGGGACAGCGCGGACTCACAACAGCTTGAGGACGCTGCGCAGTACGAGCCACCAGCTGGCTACAGTTCCGATACAACAGCAACAACATCGCCAAAACAACAACAACGTGAGCAGCAAGCGAATAGCATGGCTGCCGCGAACGCGGAAGCAGCGTGCAGCGGCGGCGCGTTCTCGCTACGCCAACGACGGGTCTCCGAATTGGTGCTGGACTCATACAGCGGCCGTACAGCGACGACAGCAGCACAAGATTATGACGATGCGGCAGCTGTTGATCTCGATGAGTATGAGGAAGACGATTACGAAGATGGCGTGGATGGCGAAAACGACTATTACGACGAATCGCCGGTGCAGCGCAGCGCTAGATTCTTACAGCCACGTAGACAACAAAGGAAAATCGAATTGCCGGAGCAGGCGACGACTAGCACGGCGGCGAAAGGCGGTGTCAAAAGGCCAAAGCGACGCATTAAGACTGCACGTCAATTCTCGCAGCGCACCACTTCGACCGAGTCCACGGAGAGCGGCGTGCGTCCATGCATATCGAAGGGTCAAATGCGCGGTGAGTTGCAGCGTTAACACGATTACTTGTATGATCGGTAGTTGGCTGATAAATAGAGTTATTAGGTTGTTTAGGGTACAAGCTAAGCACATCTCATCTAGTCTGTGTGCGCTAGCTAAGCTGTCTGTATTTTCCCATTTTGTACGTGTCGGTTGTCACGAACTGTCCAATTTATGCTGTTGTCACACCAATATTGCTTTGCTTTCTTTTTTATTGCTTTCTATTTTCGTGTGTGTTTTCTAGAATTTCGCGAAGCATTTCGCTTATTCGACAAGGATGGCGACGGCTGCATAACGAAGGAGGAGTTGGGCACCGTAATGCGTTCATTGGGTCAATTCGCGCGTGTCGAGGAATTGCAGGAAATGCTACAGGAAATCGATGTGGACGGTGAGTTGGGCGGGATTATTAAAACGTGCAACATAGAAAATAGCAATATCTGTTGGAGGTTAGCGCGTATCGCAGTAAAAGCCATGACAGCGTTGATTTTATATTTAAAAGCACTTTGCACTTTGTTATTGCTTGCTATAAGGGGTTTTCGTTTTTTTTGTATCGTTGCAGGCGATGGCAATGTTAGCTTTGAGGAATTTGTGGACATACTCTCCAACATGACATATGAAGACAAATCGGGGCTTTCCTCTGCCGATCAAGAGGAACGTGAGTTGCGCGACGCATTTCGTGTGTTCGACAAGCATAATCGTGGCTATATAACGGCCTCAGACCTGAGAGCAGTGCTGCAGTGCTTGGGCGAGGATCTGGATGAGGAAGACAGTAAGTCGTGGCTAATCCGTTAAATAATTAATATAATATATTTTTGAAGAAGAAGATTAAACGTATTGAGTGGTTTTACATTTTGTACTTGCTGTTGTTGTTTTCTTTGTTTTTTTTTTGTATTGTGTTTGAGCAGCTGAGCGTATGTGTGTTTCTTTTTAATTTAAATTTTTTGATGTATGTGTAGATTGGCTGACAAATTCGTTAAGAATTGCATGGTTTTACTGTTAGCTTGTTTACTTTTTATGCTGCCTTAGGGTTATTATTTTTTTTTCATGCCAAGCGTTAAATTCCAATATTGTTTGTTTGTTTTTCCATTTCCTACACTTGTCACTTCTGCACAGTTGAGGACATGATAAAAGAAGTGGATGTCGACGGCGATGGACGCATTGACTTTTATGAGTTCGTGCATGCGTTAGGCGAGCCGGAAGACTCACAAGAAAATGATGACGAGAATGAGGAGGAAAATACTACTTCACCATTACCAACACCAAAATCCATTGCGTCGATGACGTATGACTAAGGCATGCCGAATTTTGACAGCTAATGCCGAAACTGTTTAACGAAAGCTTAACTAAAAGCAAACTAATAAGGATAATAAGCAACAAAACAAAAACATATTTAATAATAATAAGTGAGAAATAATAATAAAATAATAAAAAATAAATTAATTAAATAAACAAAATATTAAAAACTAAAACTAAAAAAATTTACTTAAAAAAATAATGAGTGAAAAATAATAATAATCATAAATACAAAAAAAATTATTAAAAAATAAATAAAATAACAAAAATATTAAAAATTAAACTTTACTTAACAAAATCTTTGCTTCTAACAAACTTGTAGTTTTAATGAAGACAGCAAAATAATATTGAAAGTTTTTAATACAAATACCAGTTTAATTATGCCTAACTTAAATTTAATAATCAAAATATTTAAAATCAAAACTATAGTTTAGTCATTATATCATCATAGCAACAAGTAAAGAAAAACCAAGAAAAAAATAAACATCTATGGTATGCCACATTTTAAAATTTCAAAATCATTTAAAAGAAACACAATTCTTTGAGATAAAAATAATATCTAACAAAGTTGGACATTTTGTCTGGTTATGTAAAAAAAAAAAAAATACTTGATAAACAGTGTAAATCCCTGACATAAATTGTTGCTAAAAACGAAATTTTTTAACTTAAAACTTGAAAACAAGGTTGCTATATACTTAAAATACGAATTATAACATAACTCCAATGTAAACATATCCATATATTATATGTACTTAGCACTTAATTACTTAACTTTAAAAATAAAATATTTACGTTACCTAAAATTGCCACAAGGAATAAATGTATGTCTCAAAATCACATGGAATTATGCCTTTCTAAAGTGGTGTTGGAATTTTTGACGCCTTTATAGCTTTAAAATTTACTTTTAATTTGGTTATTCAACACATATGCATTTTTAAATAAACAGTAGAAAGAAAAAAAAAAATGAATACTAAAAAAAAAAAAATGAATACTAAAAAAAAAAAAATGAATACAAATAAATAATTAGCAAGAAATGCAAATCTTAACAAATCTCTAACAAAAGTTTAATTTTTTTTGTGAAAAAGCAAAACTTTCCGTAAAATTTTGAACAAATTAACATTAGTAATAATAATTATTTATGCGCGTATGTTTAAACTAGATAACGAAAAAAATTACAATTAAACTTAATCAAAAACTTTTACTTTAAATAATTCAATAAAAACTTTAAATCTTATGCAAAACAAAAAAGCTCAATTTGTTTTAATTCAAAGGTAACTGCATGCTCGCGCAACAAATTAACGGCAGGCGACTGCACAGGCCAAAATACTCATAGTCAAGCAATTGTATTGCGTTGATTGAGCAGTGTGACAGGCGGTTGTTAAATGCATATAAAGTGATATTATGAGCTGCTCTTTGATGGTAAAATGTAATAAAAAGAGCAGAAACACAAGGAAATGCTAAAATGGCAGTAATTTGTGGGAAGCTCATTAAAATGCAGGAGCTAAAAGCACGTGTTTATTACAATAAAACTAACACCAACTATTTACAATTAATTAAAGTGACTCCAGCTTGATTACACGCATATACTTTAGTGCAAATAAATGTCATTTTAGAGCAAATAAATGCTATGCAGTAGCGAAAACAACGACGACCTTATATGAATGCGAACAAGCACATGTCTTTTGTTGAAAATAGTGGCAGCCGAAGGATCTTAAATATCGATAAAGAGCAGCTTATAAGGCGCTTACACTCTTATGAGCTATTAACTGTGTGACAATGTCTTCCACTGTGTATGGAGTTGAGGGAATTGCAAGTTGCTGATATTTTGAAGGGAATTTAGAGTTTATGAAAATGACATTAAAAAGATTAAGCAGAAGAAATATAAGACTGATGCTTGGAATATATTGGAATAAAAAATATGAATCCTATAGGAAAGTGGAAAAACGGGGTAACAAGAAATTTTTTTTTTAGAAATGCGTGTACTTAGAATGCTAGAATGTTTCGAAGTTCTATGCACATAATAAGGTATATTTTCAGCTATATTTTAAGATTTTTTTCTACAAAAATATTGAAAAACACCGAAGTTAAGTGCTGTCTTCGGAGGTGCAAAAAAAAAGCTCCCCAACTGCTGACATGATTCCGGCCAAATGAATGGCTGAAACAAAAAAATTCAAAAATCGTTTTAAGTTGAAGATATTTCCTATATAATAACTAACAATTTTTGTTAAATATCAAAAATTAACAAATTGGCGTAGTTCTGAAAAAACTGTAGTTTTTTAATGAAAAAATTACAATTTTCAAGCAATCAAAAAGATCGTAGGTCATTATATAGTAAATACATTCAAGAATACTCAGTTTCAATTAGTCGATCGGTTAATTTCTCCTTGAGTTACAATGTCAGCAATTTTGAAAAACGTCGTTTTGAGAAAAACGCATTTAAAGTTTCAACTATCGATTTATACCTGCGAGCGGTCGCTCTTTAGAACGCTGCCAGTCTAAAACTATTCTAGATGCGACCTTGTGGGTTTCACAGGATATTTTTGAAAATATAAACTATCGAAAAAGCAAAAACAAAAATCGGTTTTTTGAAAGTGTCTCAGTGATATAGCCCCATAGGCCTCTAAATGGCCTATAAATGCTTATAAAAAATTGCAGTCAATATCCCTAAAAATGCAGGAAAAAATTAGCAACGCTTTCGCTAAGGTCAATTGTTAAATATAGATTGTACTTCTAACTTCCTTGAGTACGATTTTTAGTCGAACATATTTACAACTGAATTTGTATATACTTTAAGCCACGAATATGCATATAAGTCAAATACACAAAGGACAAAAGCGTAATAATTGACATACGCAGCATAAAATTACTTTTTCTAAACAAATATATATGTAAAGTTTATATATTATTCGGGTGTTCCAAAATTAACGCAAAATTTAAATTTTGTGGTAAAATGTTGACAAGCCTAAAAAAAAACACACAAAACGACGGCCGACAGTTTAGGCTTAGTAAAAATGGTGCGTTAAACAATAGAACAAAGTGTCTTCATTATAACAATAATTAAAAAATAACGAAAGCTGGGCGGCCGCAGTTCGAAAATTTTACACAAATTATAGTACTGTGAAAAGATTAATTGGGATGGCCGCAAATTTAAATGATGCTTTAATTTTGGCATACCCTGTATAAAAAAGGATGACAGTGTAAGAAACTCAAAGGTTAGCATAAACGAATACTGATAACTTTTCGAACAATATTCGCCATAACCTGACTTTACGGCTTCGCACTAAACTCAAAGGTTGAAATAATGTAAGCTTTCTAACGATATTCGCCATAACCTGACTGTAAGGCTTCGCACTAAAAGGCCGCTGTGCTTACTCGCACACTGGCCTTCGGAAACCCAAAATTATTTAACAATTCACGCTGCGAAACTATTTGAGTCGAGTAAATAAGCCAACAATAATGAGCAGTAAACGATATAAATACACACGCTGATACTTTCGCATACACAAATGGACACATACGTACGACACTGTTGCACTGTTGCCGTTAATATTGATGGTTGAGTTGAGAAAAGCGCCAAACCAAATAACTACGTAATGGACCCTCATCTAGTAAAACATATTAATGCCAAAAGTCTTAAGTTGCGCTTTCAACCAACCAATTTTATTTACTAGATTTACAGAAGAACATATTGCCGCACAAAAAGGTCAGGATATCGAAAGATTAAATGCAACAAATTGCTTTGCAGCCGAAAAAGATTTTTACTTTCCTGCAGAGAGCGATTTGTTAGTGTGGCGCCAATCACTACTAACCATTGTGTTTGATTGTGATTTAATGTCGAGCAAGTCAACAAATGGATCAAGCAGAGTGTGTGTTTGATTGTGCGCATGTGTGTGCGGGTGTTTTGGCTAAATAGTTGTGCAAACAAATAACATGCGAATATGCATTTATTTACACAGATGTAGGAGAAAGAATGTTGCAATTGGGAGGGTCATTGTTTGCTTTGGTTAAAATATTTGTACGGCAGGGTTGCTAAGAAAAAAATGTCGTAGGAGACGTAAGAGATGCTATGAAAATTTGCTCGCTGTAATGTCCTTCACAGACAACAACGATGTCAGCATCGAAATCCAACGCAGAATAACTCTTGCCAACAGGTCGGACTGAGTAGGCAATTGAGAATGAAAGTCCTCTCTCGACGAACAAAAACCAGACTCTATAAGTCACTTATTGCTCTCGTCCTACTATATGGTGCAGAGGCTTGTTCGATGACAACAACTGATGAGTCGACGTTGCGAGTTTTCGAGAGAAAAAAGTTGTGTGAAAGGTTTATGGTCCTTTGCTCGTTAGCCACGGCGAATACGAAGACTTGGTGGAGAAGGACCTGGCTTCGCTTGGAATCTCCAATTGGTGCCACCTTGCGAAAAGAAGAAATGATTGGCGCGATGTTGTTAACTCGGCTATAACCACGTAAGTGGTTAGTAAAGAAACAATAATATCCTTCACTGCTGCATTTCTTATAACCTAAAAGAGTATAAAAGGTCTTTATCTTGATTTTGATCGGTAAGTTTGCTATGGTAGTTTATGCTATAGTGGTCTGATTTCAACAAATTCTTCAGATATTGTAGCGGTTTCTTAGGCAATAATTTGTGTAAAATTTTATGAATAAAAAAGTTTCCATACAAGAGCTGTATTTTGTTCTGTCGGGTTGTGTGACAGCTATATCTTAGACTGGTGCGATATAGTCGGTTCCCGACATATGAGCAGCGAGTAGGGTGGGAAAAGGATGTGCGCAAAATTTGAGATCGATACCTCCGAGACTAAGAGACCAGTTCACGTATATACAGACAGACAACCGCGGCCAAATTGGCTCGGCTCAGTTATGCTGATTATATTCGTATACATATATATAGTATATATCCACCACTACTACTACTATTTATAGGGTCTCCGATCTCAGTGGCAAATTTAACACACACTTATCTGAGTATAAAAAAGTGGCTAAGAGCGCTACAACGCTGAAAGGCGGCATCCAGGGTTGCCAAACATGTATTATCTTATTATAGCTAGAAGAAAAACGCTGAAAAATTGCAATTAAACGT